GTTGAACAGAGTTCACTGAGCAGAACTGGAGAACTGGAGAACTGAAGAACAGAAGAACTGGAGAACTGGAGAACAGAAGAACTGGAGAACTGAAGAACTGAAGAACTGGAGAACTGGAGAACAGAAGAACTGGAGAACTGGAGAACAGAAGAACTGGAGAACTGGAGAACAGAAGAACTGGAGAACTGAAGAACTGAAGAACTGGAGAACTGGAGAACAGAAGAACTGGAGAACTGAAGAACTGGAGAACTGAAGAACTGGAGAACTGGAGAACAGAAGAACAGAAGAACTGAAGAACTGGAGAACTGAAGAACAGAAGAACTGGAGAACTGGAGAACTGGAGAACTGAAGAACTGAAGAACTGGAGATCTGAAGAACTGGAGATCTGAAGAACTGGAGAACTGAAGAACTGGAGAACTGGAGATCTGAAGAACTGGAGATCTGAAGAACTGGAGAACTGAAGAACTGGAGAACTGAAGAACTGAAGAACTGGAGAACTGAAGAACTGGAGAACAGGAGAACTGGAGAACAGGAGAACTGAAGAACTGAAGAACTGGAGAACTGGAGAACTGAAGAACTGGAGAACTGGAGAACTGGAGAACTGAAGAACTGGAGAACTGAAGAACTGGAGAACTGAAGAACTGAAGAACTGGAGAACTGGAGAACTGAAGAACTGGAGAACTGAAGAACTGGAGAACTGAAGAACTGGAGAACTGGAGAACTGGAGAACTGGAGAACTGAAGAACTGAAGAACTGGAGAACTGGAGAACTGGAGAACTGGAGAACTGGAGAACTGAAGAACTGGAGAACTGGAGAACTAGAGAACTGAAGAACTGGAGAACTGGAGAACAGACCTAATCTCAGCAAACTAGAACATGAAAAACTCCATGACGCTTCATCTCTGCTGTTTCAAGCTGTTTGAAGTGATCCTGTGTGAAACTAAGACATTTAAACCACAAACAACTCTTCAATATATTCTTATTTTGTCAGAAATATTGGTCAACGCCAATGTGAAATTTATTGACACAGCACATTAAAACCAGCAAAATCTGAGCACAGAGCTTTACAGTTCAGTCAAGCTTTTACCTTTAAAACAGAAGAAAATGCAGAAACACAATGAAAAATAAAAATCTGCTCTGGTCGAACCTTAAATCTGCCTCAGTAAAAAGCCAAAGAAAAGAGACGGGTCTTCAGAATCCCAGCAGACTGAATATAAAGAGGTAGACCGGTCCACAGCTTGGACCAGCCTCATCTCTGGACTTCATTTTGGCTCTAGGACCATCTAACAAACTGGTCAGTGGACCTGAGTGGTCCGACTGAAGCTTTAGGGTGGCTGAATGTGTGCTTCCCTTGTTATTGGAACACAGCCTCTGGTCCCCCTTCATGAAGAGGGAACAGACCATCAACATGGAAACAAGCTGGTCAGAATGAGAAGGTCCTCACAGTCCTGAACCTGACCCATATATCTGCTCTTACAGGTGGTGGGCTCACAGGGAGGTGACCTCATAGCTCACTCAGGCTGAGCCCCACCAGGCCCCCCCGGGCCCCACCGGTACAGGCCTGGTCACACAGGTGCTTCCTCAGTCCTGTCTCCATGGTTGGACAGGTGTGACTGGCTGTTTCACCTGTCACCTGTTGGCCTGCATTAGATCTATTAAACACCAAAAACCCTTTAAGCACCTGTAGTTTTCAGTGTTTTCACTTCACTCTGTACTTGTTCACAGTGAAGGACCTGACTGTGGAGGTACCTTTGGTATTCCAGTGGGATCGAAGCGGAGAACCCTCTGGTTGCAGCAGGGATAGATTCCTGCACCGTACCAGGCTTTCTCTGTGCCTGTTCCAGGGTACAGGACACTGTCTGGATGGTATCTGCAGCAGGTCAGCTCTCCACATACAAAAACCTGCAAATTCAATAAATCCATGTCTCATTTTTAATCAAACATCAGCTTTTCTCATCTGTTCTCATGTTTCTACAATCAGACCTGCTGGCATCTGGAGCAGGTCAGAGTGTTGATGGTGCCCCAGATTCTCCAGTAAACTAGGACCCAAGACTTCAGCTCCTCATAGAGGTCTGTGAGGTATTCATGTATGTTCCAGCTTTTCTGTCTGAAACACACACACACACACACACACACACAAGTGCAGCAGTTACACACTCTGATAAGCTCCTGGATGAGATGTCAGGAAAATGAATACCTGACGTGTGTGTAGATGATTTCTCCTCGAAGGTCTACGTTGATTTTCCCAGGAACACAGGAGATTTTCCTCTCTGTCTCTTTGGTGAGCAGCTTAAGGCACAAACCACACCTGCATTGTTCAGAACAACCAACAAAAATAAAAGATGAGCACTTTACAATGAACAATAAAAGAAAAAAGACTAAACAAAGACGTTTCTACTAACTTGTAGAGACTTGATGCATTTCCTGGAGAATCTTTGTTCTGGTAATTTGGATCGAACAGACACTCAATTTTCTTCTGAAACAATTTGCTTTGATGAAGAAAGAACACAAAGAACAACACAATCTTTTCTGTCATTCAACATAAAGAAACTGTCAATCAATTGTTACCTTCAGCTGTACAGTTTATATGAAAATAAACTGGACTTTTCATCAGAGTCCATCTAAAGACCTTAAAGCACCTGTGACATCAACATTTTGTGATGAATATGAACAAACTTTTGGAAAGATAACAAGGATAACATGTTGCAAAAGCAATTTCACACCACTGAGATGAACAGTTGTAAAGATGTTTACATGTGAAGAAACAGGAAGTGATGTCAAAGGTCTGCATGTAAACAGAGCGTTGTAACAACAGCTAACAGCACAGACAGCAGGAATCTTCTGATGTTTCTGTAGATCATTTTAGTCCCTATGAGAGAGAGATAAAGTCAGAGTTCAAAAAATATTGTTTTAATAAACAAAGACCAGAGAGTTTTCTACCTTACCTTTGATGTCACTTCCTGTTTCACTTTAGATGAGCCAAATTTAAAGGAAAATATGTAGTTATGTGACAAAATGGGTTAAATCGTGTGTTTTATGTTTCCTAAATATGAAAATATTTCTTTGATTTTTTGTATTTGAAGGATAAGCATGTCACAGACACTTTAAAACTGGCCTCTGTCCCTTTAAGAACCTCCTACCATTTCTGACACTCCCACTTCAGCACGTCTTAACAGCAATGCCTCAGGGGAGGGGTGCACTGTTGGGTGGGGGCTGGGCTGCAGACTGAGCTCCAGGGAAGAGCTTTGTGTAAATAGGCGGAGCTTTGTACAGATAGGCGGAGCTTTGTACAGATAGGCGGAGCTTTGTATCAGCAAGTGTTTAGACAGCTCCACATGGTCACAGGAGATTCCAGGATTTCTCCAACATGAATGAGTCAAAGCAACACTGAGGTGGTGTGGTTTTCATGAGGGAATGATATGATAACATGATATAAAGAGGCATAAAAAGGTTTATTTTACATATAATACACCAGCACAATTAAACCAGGACTATTTAAGGAAGTCATCTCTAGTGCTCTCAGGCTGAATTTAACATGTAGACAGAGCTGAATAAACAAAAGCTCTTTTTCCTAATTTTGTGTGAAGCAATGGAACAGAGAGCCAGAACAAGTCATCTGAACAGAAAACATAAGAATCAGAACTTCTCTGTGATTAATCCATAGATGTAGGAGGTCAACTGTCCAAGAAGGCCTTATAAATAAAAGTGTACCAATGTCCCAACCTCCTGCTGGACCAAGACCATCCCACTGCAGTGTTCACAATGTCAAGGTTTACAGTTAGAAACAACCCTCARGGAAACATGAGTAACTGTATCAATTTTTACATTTTTATAATAATATTTATGGTAGCAATGACAGACATTCCAACGTCCTCGTTTCCTGGTCCAGTTTTTTTTCCTGGTCTACCTTCCTTTAAAAATGTAAGAACTGGCCTCTCACTGTGTGAACACAGCCAKGATGGTCTAGTCAGAATTTATTTCAGGTTTGTGAAACTCTGGAGTTGAACTCTTTCACCCACATTAATGTGACTGTGACATGTGTGTTTAACCCTTTCATGGTGAGTACATCATTGTTCCTGCACTGGAACACTGATTAATGACAGAGTCCGACTCGTTTTTCACCCCCTCGGATCACGAGTCTGTCATGACTGTTTTTTCTGTAATTTCCTATTTTTCTGCACGGTATCTTGTTTTTATTTTCATTTTTATCTGACTTCATCTTGATAGTCTGGTACAGTGATTATTATTCTCAATTTTATTTTGATCTATGTTTATTTTTATTGTTGCTATCTTTAATTCTATTATTATTGCTACAGTTAATAATGTCACAGAGTAAAATACTGTTTCTGTGGACTGATGTGTGTTTCTGCTGCTACACCTGAATTTCCCTGTGCGAGACAATAAAGCCTGTTTCTTTTCTAACAGTTGGTATAAACCGTGAATCTCACACAAAACAACTTCATGTTTTCTTTCTGCACTTTCTGTCCTTCAACCACTGTCTTCATTTTTCACATGTAGTCTTCCTTATTAAACACAGTTGTTTTTCTGTTATCCAATTATCCTGTGTGCACTTTAACAATGTTTTACTTTWGTGTTTTCCATGACTATTTCTAGATCTTTAAACTATTTTCATCATGACAGCAGTCCATCAGACATGTCGGTTGTACGGTGTATAAATATTTTGTTGGATATGGTAGAGTTAGTCCTGCAGATGTCTTCTTACCTCTTAAACTTATCTTTTTTGTCCCGGATGTCGTCAGCCTCGTTGTGGTTGAAGAGTTCAGCGATGCGTGCCGTCAGGTTACTGTTGATGCAGTTCATGTTGCAGGGCGTGGCTACGATGGCACTCATGTGTTTGTGGCAGTACACGACGCACTCGTCCACCTGAACATGATGAAACCTTTGAATGGTTGAGTTGATCTCAAATACTCAACTAAACAAACTTCGATCCGTTCAGACAGTTCTGGTTCTTTTTTCAGACTGTAGTGAACAGTTTTACTGCAAAGTGTCTAAAAACCTCACAGACAAAACTATTCACACCTTCCATGTGTTTAATAATACAGATTAAACAGATTAAAGCTAGAAAACTGAAGTAAGTGTGTTTACAATCATCACATCATTAAATTTCACTGTAGAGTCACAACACTTACCAACAAATCCATCTTCAGGAACTCAGAGGAGATCAGTATGGAGATGACATTACTGGGCTCTGAAAAATCAATAAACCAGCACAGAATTATAATTAATCCAGACCACAGAGTCACAGTTAATTCATCTCACTGAGGTACAACCAGTCCAGAACACAGAGATCAATAATCCAGCACACAGAGATCAATAATCCAGAACAAAGAGATCAATAATCCAGAACAAAGAGATCAATAATCCAGAACAAAGAGATCAATAATCCAGAACACAGAGATTAATAATCCAGAACACAGAGATTAATAATCCAGAACAAAGAGATCAATAATCCAGAACACAGAGATTAATAATCCAGAACAAAGAGATCAATAATCCAGAACACAGAGATCAATAATCCAGAACACAGAGATTAATAATCCAGAACAAAGAGATCAATAATCCAGAACAAAGAGATCAATAATCCAGAACAAAGAGATCAATAATCCAGAACAAAGAGATCAATAATCCAGAACACAGAGATT